CTCGGGCATCATGACACTCTGACATCAGGAGTGTTCTCAACTTGCAGTCCTGGGGAATGCACAAACATTCCTCACCTCTGCTGCAAGTGTACAACAGATCTGAAACTACAGTACATCCTGCTTCAGAGGCAGGATCATCCTGAAGATTCCTAACTATGGGCCGAAAAATCGGATCCTGGGGCTGCAAATGGGCTATGGTCTGACGAGTCTTCTCTCCAAAACAGTGAGTAAAGGAGATCACAAGAACTGCAAGACAGTGAAGAATGCTGCAGTAAAAGAAGAATATAAGTCTGTGTCATTTTACTTTGTTTGTACCCTGCACCCTAACACCCTAAAAAGAAAAGTCCAAAGGGTGAAAATGAGATTGTAAAATGAAGAAGGAAGTGCAGGTGCGCTGAAAACCGAACGTGGTAGACTCTTCACCGAAACTGCAAGAAAGAAGAATGCAGTAAAAGAAAGAAGATGTTTGTGTCAACGTTTTTTATTTTTATTTTTGCTTTTTCTCCCTCTGCCTGCTGGTTACCCTGTCTGCTCCTCTCTTCCTTGTGTTTAAAACCTCTTCCTTCACTCTGCCTCTTTCCCGCAGCGTGCAAGTGGGCTGTTATGGCATACGGGGATGGGGGCAGCTCGAACTCCACTTCATCAACGTGGCGAGCCTTGTACGTTAGAGGCACGGTGGAGGAGGCGTTAAGAAGACTGAGAAACTGAATGATTTCGATGTGCTTTTGTTTTTTATTTTTATCCTTTCTTCAGGATATAGTGAAACGAAGAATAAGAGGATGTTGTTCTGTGTCATTCTGGTTTGTCTGCCTCTTTGCCTGTCTATCCTTTCATTTTTCTTTTCTTCGCTCATCTTATTTCTCCTTCTACTTCACGTGCTTGCGGTCTTAGTGAATAGTTTTGTGACAATATATATGCCGACGTTGCTAGCTCTCTGCGTTTGCAGATCGAACGGCCAGCGTCCGGCCTGTACAACTAGGCGATTCTTCAATTGAACCTTCAATTGATGTTTTTCATTGCTGTATAGATTGCGTATTGTCAATTTGCGTTCTGCATTCTGCCCCCTGTTCTCTCATTGCTTCCTGAATCCTTTCAGGGGCTGTATTTCATTCGGCGGGCTCTCCGATTACCTGCTACTTTGTCATAATTTTCTTTATGCTTGGAAAATATTAGCCCTGTTAGGTGTTTGATCTGGTACGTTGCCCGGTGCTACGGTTTTGTTATTGTATAAGGTATTGTGCACATAAGGACTGTGGTGGCGGTCACCGCAAGGACACAGGTTGGAACCCTTTTCCCGTGCAGTGGGTATAGTTACGGCCCACCTAAGGTTAGCCAAACCCGGGTGGCAGCCCCCATGTCCATCTCACCTCTTTGTATCGTACTCTTTCGTGTAAACCTCACACATTAATAAAGCCTACAGGTTGACTTGCTTTTGCTGAACTGATGTTGTTGGTCTGTCGGTGCAAGGCTGTGATCACTAGGATCACATTGGATCATACTGGGTCACGACACACTCACCGGGGGATGCAGAGTCATACATGAACCAACATTCTGTTGGCTCACTGCTAATGGTGAATACCATACGAACAGGACGGCGGCAGGATCAGTTCCCGAACTGGCCGCCGAACCTAAAACCCTGCCTTTCTGTGCACCTCTTCGTCTCTTCTCTTACCAAAAAATGAAAAATTTCAAAAAAATAAATGTTACTTTTGAACAAATGAATTCAACACAAAGGATTAATAAGGGGATTCTCGGGAAGTTTCCTACTACTGGCATAGTAGGCGTAGTTCCAGGCAACATAGGTCAGGGAATCCTTGGTAGATTTCCTGTTGACACTACATTAGACACGGTGGATCAGGGGATTCTTGGGAGATTTCCTGTTGACACTACTTTAGGTATAGTTTCTCATAATAATCATCGACTCTTCTCTGCTTTTTCCTCCTAGCCTCATCTACACGCTGATTCCACACGTCGAGTTGATTGGATTCGACACCTTCGCTGGAATACTGATCTCTACTCTGCAGGTACTTGGCGCAAGAGGCAGTTGCAACAACTTGACACGGCGATTCAAACAGAGCGTTTTGAATTGCAGTTGAGAGGCATTGATCAGCAGGCATTGCAATCAGGTATGGACCCTCTCCGTGTCCGAGGACTGATCTATGCCATCGTTCATATCCCCTCTGGGCGTCTTTACATAGGTCACACTATGCACTCTTCGCATCAACGTTTGCAGGAACATTGACATATTCGTCGTTTTGCTGCGGAGTTCCGGCGTCGCCGCCTCTACAGTGTCATGTCTTGTCAAAACCCCTTCAATTTTGCAGTCTGGCCCTTGGAATGTATTGACCCGGCCCTTTACCATACACCGCAGGGTCTTGTTGACGGTAACCTTTTTCGACGGGCAGCTGCGACACGGGAAGCCTATTGGGTACGCCGGTTGCGAACTCTTCATCCAACTGGTCTCAACGCTGTCCTGCCACTTGCTCGCCTGCCCGCAAGAAGACGACAACGTCGTCCTCAACGATGGACACAGACAGGCCCTCGTCCGTCAGACCATCAACGGCCCCAGCCCATTGATTTGCGTCCAGGCCCCGACTTTCAAGTCCGGTCTGCATTGCACAATCTTCTCTCACAGGCTGCTGCTGGCAATTCGCAACAGATGGAATCTGTCATCCAGCGAGCAACGTCAGTTTGGCGTGCCCGCTTGCTGCAGTGGTTGAGCAATAATATCTCCAATGCAGATATGATTGCGCATATCCGGCAGCTTGAATGCCTGATTCGGAAGTATCAACATGTCCGCCAACGATACACAACCCAGTCTCGAGATGCCTTCCTTGATCATATTAAAGTTGTGCACATGCACGAGGTGTCTCAGGTAACGGGCCTGCGACAAGCCCTACATGCACCCCAGGTGCTCCACTTGCACCCTGACCCTGATGCCGCAGCACACCTACGTATCTGTGATAAGTTGTTGCCGCCAACTCGCGTCCAATTCTCTAACTTCACGGAAGTTGCGCTCAGCGTGACACCTGGGATCTCTCTGCCTGACCCCTCAGACTGTCAATGTCGGAAAGTGTTTCCTGATTGCTCACACTTAGTCGACGGCCATGTTGTTACAGCCGATTGCGGCATCATTCCTGATGATCGCCTCCATGACTTGTTCCATGAAGGCTCGAAGTATCGTCTTAATGGACAAATCACTGATGTGCTTCAGGTTGTTACAGTCGGCCTTGACGAGTATATTGCTAAATACCTGAGGTCGGTCTCCGAGCAGCTTCGACCGGCCGCTCTGAACAAATTGCAGCAATGGTGCTCAGTCGTTCTTACACGTTGCCAAAGCAACATCTCATCCCCCCACACTACTACACGACAACCACACTCCCTTCACTCAGTGCACAGGGCTTTCAGACACCTTCAACAACACTTTGCTATTGTTTCTGTCGACAAGACCTCACACAACTTAGCAATCTGTTGTAAAAATTGGTACCTGTCTCATCTATCTGCTCATTTGGACAGCCCTACCTATGATGTGCCTCTTGACTCTGTCGCAGATATTCTCGAACACCACGCG